CCACCGCTGTGGTGAGAAGCCTGCTTTGCTAGTTGGTTGCACGCGTCGGCCATGCCTCGTACTGCAGCTGCAACTGAATCCAGACCACGAATTTCTCCAGCATTGAAGACACTCGTCGCCATCTCCTTTAGGTACCGCATCTTCCTCTCGACCTTGCCCATTTGCCAGCGAGCTTCTGGCGCAGCGCTGTCGGTCACCAGGCCGAGGTCGTTGCGCAGTGTCTCGAACTCGCCCATGAAGGTAGAGTCCTGGTTCTGCTCAACCACAGTAGGTGGCCCAGCCCACGTCAGCCATCCAAGCTCGAAAGCCTTCTCAGCCAGCTCTGCCGTCGGTCCTGGCCCAGGACACGCGCACATGGCCACTGCAAAGTCCGACGCAATATCCACGATCACCAGCACCAGGTGCATATGATTGCCCATGTCTGGTATCATCACGAAATCCATGTCAATGGCCTCGTTAATATCTCTAACCTTGGACTGAGCTGCCGCAGGTCTTGCTGCCGCCCGAGCCTGCTCTTCACACGTTGTGAATATGAGGCGTCGAGCTGCCTGCACCGCTCGTCGACTAGCTCCACCGTGCTGCATCGTACCAATGTATCCTTGTAGAGTCCATGTGAATGGCCCCCGTGTGTATTCTTGATGGCTGCTCGAAGATCGCTGCTGCACTCGCGTGCATGGGCGCCTCCGCCACCGCAGGGTTGGCCTCGATCTCGTCAAGCTCGATGTCCTCGAAGTCGTTGGCGCACCTGGCACACCCACCATGCTGCTTCTCGAGGCCCCGCTGATTCTCGATGCCGCCCATGATCGTCTTAGCCAGGCTGGCCGTCCAGTTGCCAAGACTTGATGCTGTTCCCGTCGGCCCGTTGATCACGCTCGTGCGTTCGTGCGTGTTGTCACACCTGATGCTGTTGAGCTTGGCGCCTAGCATCACGGCCGCAGTCAGGAGCCGCGTCGGCTTCCTGACGGGATCGCCCATGAAGTCCACCAGGTTGCCCCCCCCCCCCCGCACTGGTGCACCATCGCGGCCGCAAACTCTGAGCCTAGCCACGGCATGGGCTTCCACGCCTTGGATGCCAGCGGGTTCTCCAGTAGCACGCGTGCTCCTCGACGCTTGCAGCCTAGCCAGATCTGCTTGACGAACCGCCGGTGCTTCATGCCAGTTGCTGGCTTCATCATCTTCGTCTGCAGCGGAAACATGTGCAATGCGTTCGCGAGCGCGTCGCGTGGAAAACCCACAGTAGTCATGCAGGGGTTGTCCTCGCCCAGCTGCTTCAGCACTCTCCGTTGCGACTTCGCCCAGTATCAGGATGCCCCTAGGTCTCGTAGTAGGGCGCCGCCGCTGCCGCGCTTCCGACGCGGCCGCCATGCCACCAGCATAGAGCTCGCATATGATAGGTCGCTTCTCCTCTGGGTCCGCCTATAGCGCCCCCACGACCTGCCGGCGCTGGTCCAGCTTGTCCTGCAACTCCTTCTCCCACGTTTCGATATGCTTCATCTGCTTTCGTCGTGGGACGCCCTCGTTTAACTCTTGCGCCTCCGCGGCCCAGATGACGATCTCATCCGCCGTAACTGAGGGCACTGTTTGGGCTGTTTCTTTATTCGGCCAGTCCTTGAGCGAGATCGCCGGGCGCCCCTTCTCGGTCTTGTTGAGCGGCACCCCGTACATGTTGATCGCCGCGAAGTCCGCCTTCCGCTCCACCACGCACAGCGCTGTCTAGCTCTTCCAACTGGTGGATGCTTAGCAGCATTGGCGCCTTCGATTTCGGCAGCCTCTGGAATCGTAGGTCCACGTCGGCCCCTGCAAGTCCAGCCGCCACTTCCTGCTCGCCATCCGCCACGACCCAGGCGCTGCCACTCGCGCCTCGGAAGCACGCGGACGAGCCCCGCATCCTCGCAGTGACCCTGCTGTCCTCAGCGGAGCCGCCCAATGCTAGTGAACCTCCACATCCTCGTAGGCATGCCCAGCACAGCATGTTCATCTGGAATAAGTCCTTTCCTTACCGCGTAGGCCTCGGTCTCCCCCAGCTCCTCGTAATTCACCTGCAGGCAAGATGATGATGCACGATGCTCTGTAGGCCTGTAGTCCGCGCCTGTCCTGCGTTCCGTCCACAGCCATGTCGGTCGCACTCCATGAGGCAGTCGCTCGCAGGCGCCCCTTACAATGTCTCGTACTTCCAAGGTGCTGCCCCAGGATGCTCGGCACAGGTGACACGCCAAGTTCCTGAACCCCTGCGGTGCCATCTCCACCGCGATGCGCATGAGCTGGTGGATCCGGCGCAGCGTCCAGCCCACGCACCAATCCATGTAATCCCTGTAGGCTGCTTCCATGTTCTCACGGCTAACCCATTATGCCGCAATCCGTGCTGATCGATCTTTGATCTTCTGGGGGTCTGCCGCTGCGCTATCTTCTTCATGGTAGTCGGTGCTTGATCTGCTGGGCCATGTCTGTCCAGATCCAGATCCTGGGGTTTGGCCATCACTACCTTCAGGTTCTCCCTCTTGGCGTTACTCAGGCATGCCGTGGATCCAATTCGCTTCTCCTCCGGGCCACTCTCGTGTACCTTGATCGCCCCCAAATGCTGATACCGCCCAGGTGTCCACGATCTCTTCGCCGGCGTCGCTCCTCACCTTCGTCAGACCCGCGATCTCCTCCATCGCGGCGTCCATATTCGCCAGCTGGTCATTCACGATCTGGATGGCAGTCATGTCCATTGAGCTGTCTGCCATCAGCGGCTTCACCGCCGCTGCCATCGCAAGACCAGCCCGTCGTAGAAAACCCCATGGTCGCCCGTGAAAGCCTCGGCCGCCACCTCGCCCTCCACGCTGCAGGCTGCTCGATGATCCGGCACCTGATGGCCTTGTCTCGTCGCACTCCGGGTCGCCCTTCCAGCGGCCCTTCCCGCGGCATGCGTTGCACTTCGTGCGAGCCTTTATCTTCTCGAGCTTGTCTTCAGCTCCCTTGCCGCCCACGTTGATGGACCCCTGCCTGTTGACGTTGGCCTTCCAGCCTCGATTGGACTTGCTCTGCGCAAGCACCTCCCGCGCTTGCTTGCAGTTAGGCTCGCGACCTTTTCGCCCAGCCTGCCGCCCGCGACGCTGCGCCTCAGCCGCTAGAGCGCCGCACTCCTCCTGGCTGACCTCCTCGGGGTCGACGTCGCCAATCGCCCCCTCGAACTCGTCGACGTCGGCTGCCAGCGCGCCGCAGTCTTCATCGCTCAGACGCCCGTCCTCATTGCATACGCCACGCTCGTATCCAATAGGGTTTCCTCCTCGTCATCGCCGTAGTCCACTGGGCATGCTCCATGGCGTCCGCGACCACGTTCGTCTCTGCACGTCGTGGCCAGCTGGGTGAGCATCGCTGCCGTCACGTCGCCCTAGATGCACTCGTTGTTGCACTGCCCCAGAATAGCCCCATGCTCGGTCATGCTGATATTCGCCAACCGCAGTAGGAAGCACGTCCGAAAGTATTCGCTCACCGTCGCGTTCGCTGAGAGAAACTTGAGCCGCTCGCACTCCGTCTCCCGCCTCGACACGCAGTCCCGCACTGACTCCGATGTGCCGCGAAAGCCTGTGAAGAAATACTCATCGAATGCGTGCTGCTTTTGTAGTGGTGCGATCCGTTCGCAGGCTTGTCGGACCGTGGCCACTACCAACTTTATTGCAGCAAGTGGGTCCTCATTTGCTCTGTCCAGCACTGCTCGCGTCGCAATCTCGGGCCTTTTCCTTGCGAGGTTCCACGCTCGCCAAATCAGAGAGCTCTTGAGCTTGATCGCGTAGAGCTTCCGCAGCTTTTCCTCGCTCGCATAGTAGCCGAGTATTGCGCGCTCCTCGAACTCCTCGCCGTACGCTGGGTCGCCGTTGTGGTGCACGACGCCCTCCTTGTCCATGACGAGGGGTCCTTCGTTTGGATGCTGTTGCCTGTTCGCCATCTTGCCTGTGGTGATGGCGCTGCCGTATCTGATGATGGTGGTGCCGTCCAGCCCGTTGCCGTCCACCTCGTAGTAGATGTCGTTGTCGCTGCTGCTGTCCAGGTCGTGGCAACGATTCTCGGCCAGGCTGCAAGTGATGATATTCAGCGTATTGATCGCTGAAAGAAGCGCGCAGTGGTAAAGCACTGCGAGAAGTCTTGAGCGCCAGCATATATCTGCACGGCCGCTCACAATATGAATCTCGCAACCATAGAACTGACACAACTCCAGGCTATCAGTGCAAATACTGATCACAATGTCCCTCCCACCAAGCACTTGATGCAAGCACAAGATAAGATAAATGAGATCAATTTATCTCCGTACTCAACGCAGTCGTGAGTAGGTGCGTCCACCCTCCCGCCCAGCTCGTGAGCCATAACAGCCACAGGCGGGTGGAAATATAATTCATTACCACCCTAAATCTCACATCCTTGCCTACCTGATTTTCACATACACCAACTGCCGCTGCAACAATGTTGAAGACCGCCGCGCCGCTCCACTCGTGGCCCTTACTCATTGCTCGCCCTCGACAAAAAGGCCGGGGGATTTTGTAGATCCTACGTAGGCACCGTGGTCATGTATAAACTCCCGCCTCGGATGCAGGGTCGGCCAGCATCGGATCGGGAAATTTCGGGCACTGAGAATCGGACTGTGCGACAAATCGGGCCGCGCCGGCACGAGGTCGGAACTGCGTCCAATCGGCCGCCTCGCAAGCATCGGGCTGCACCGGATCGCCAAAATATCGCACCGGACTCGAATCGGATCGAGCCGGCCGGAATGGACACCGAGTCGGATCGGTCGGACCGGGATGGGCCCCGGCCTCGGCTTTCGGGCCGCACCTCGGGCCGCCGGCGGCTGCTCGGGACGATGCGGGCACCCCCCGGAACGCCGCCGGCGAGGCGCAGCTGCCGGAGCGCACCCCGAGGCAGGAGAGCCTCCAGGAGCTGGGCGCGAGGGCGTCCCGAAGGCTCGCCCGAGAGCCGGTCCGAAGGAGGCGGCCCTGCCCCGAGGAGCGGCGAGGCCCCCGGCCGGCCTGCTCGTTCAGGGCCGCCAGCTGCTCCGCGCGCTCCGTGCCCAGCGCGCGCTTCAGGCCCGCGTCCAGCAGCAGCGAGAGCGCGCGCTTGCCCACGCCGTCGAGCTGGAGGTCCCGGCAGGCCGTGAGGAGCTCGACCAGGCAGCCGAAGAGCGCCTCCACGAGCTGCGGGTCGCGCACCTGACGACGACGACGACGACGACGACGACGACGACGACGACGACGACGACGACGACGACGACGACGACGACGCTTGTGCTAAGCACGCATCCTGGGGATCATCGGATCATCGAACCTGGCGTAAGAAAAGGCGGCACGAGCAGAAACTCGGCGGCTAGCCCAGGGGGGAAGTGAGAGGGGGCAAGCCTCCTCAGAAGGCGGCGGGGGGCTTCTCGAAGCCCTCACGCCTTCTGAGAAGGCGTGCGGGCCTCCTCCGAAGCCGCACACGGCTCCTCAGATGGCCGGAGGGCTTCTGAGAAGCCCATGCACCTTCTGAGAAGGCCACCTCCCCCCCTGGGCTTGAACGCCGATCTGCCCCCTCTCACCTCCCCCCCTGGGCTCGAACGCCGATGAATGTTCGAGCGTCCGCGCGGATTCCTTGGGCCAACGCTGGAACCCCGCCCTCTCTGGCGTGTGGGGCTCGCCAGGGGAGGCGCCGGAGGCGCCGCCGCCGGGGGTCCCAACGCCGATCCAAGAGACCCGTGCAGACCTCGGGAAGGCCCGTGCTCACGCCGGCGTCCCTCCCGTGGCGGGGGCACCCTCAGGTTGTCCCAGTCGTCGTACGCCCACAGGCTGAGGTGGAGACCCGCGATGTGTTGGAAGCGGCTGGGGGTCTGAGCTGGAGAAGCCCAACAGCAAATCGGACCAGGGCAGAGACGACGGCAAATCCGCTCAAAATCGGTCCCCGGACCCCTCCTGGGCTCGAGACTGGCCGGTTCGTCGAGCCGCGTGAAGCCGTGGCGACGAGGGGCCCTTTGCTCCCCCCTTCCCTGACATCCGACGCCACGAACAACGACAGACAACACCGCAAAACCCGACCGAAGCCCTGGAACCCATCTGTCCGCGGCACTCCCCGAGCCGAGACGAGCTGCGCGAGGGCCCCGGGGCCGGCAACGGGCCGAAGACGCCCGGCGCGAAGACGCCGCAGCGCCCAGATCGCAGGGACCTCGGCCCCCCAGCCGGCTCCAAGCGCTGTGCGTGTCGGACGTCTTCTCCCACGTGCGCGGCGCCATCGCCGCGGCGGCCCCCTCCAGGGCCTCGCAGAGGCCGCGGGCGCCGCCGCTGGCGGCCGAGCGCCAGTTCACGGCCGGCACCACCGAGCGCGCCTCGGCGAGCCCGGCCTGGGCCTCGAAGATGTGGAGCACGTTCACCTGCCGAGCCGCGGGGTCTCGCGCGCCCCCGTGTCTCGCATGCTCCCCCGCTCGCCGTGCCCACGCCGTGGGGGGTCCCCAGGTCGGCCCCGCCCAGGGAGCCAAGGGGGCAGGCGGGAGGCCGAGGGAAGGGAGGGGAGAGCAGGGGCGCGCGAGGGCGCGAGAGCGAAGGGGAGGGAGCGAGGGGGAGGGGCGGGGGGGAGGCGAGCGGGGGGAGCACAGGGGGCCGGAAAGGGGGCAGGGCCGAGGGCGAAGGGGGGCAGAAGGGGGCAGAGGGAGAGGGGAGGCGGGGAGGGGAGGAGGGCAGGGCCCCGCCCGGAGAGCGGTCGCGGGGGGTGGCTGGCGGCTGCCCGGCGGGCCCCGCCCGCGGAGGTCACGCCCGCGGAGGTCACGCCCTCGGCCCTCGACCCGGAGGTCCGAGGCCCCGACAAGAGAACACGGGAGCGGCCAGCCTGGGGTCGAGGAGTGTCGAGGGTCGAGGGTCGAGGGTCGAGGGTCGAGGGTCGAGGGTCGAGGGTCGAGGGTCGAGGGTCGAGGGTCGTCGTCGTCGTTGTCGTCGTCGTCGTCGTCGTCGTCGTGGTCGTCGTCGTCGTCGTCGTCGTCGTCGCTCGCCGTCGCTCGTCGCTCCACGCCGCCGTCGACATCGCCGCTGGTCGTTGCCGTTCGTCGTCGCTCGCCGGCCCCAGCCTCTGGGAGCCCTCAGCGGGCCCCGGGACTGCCAAAAGACGGCGCGGGACCGGCCTCAGGGAAATCGTCGAGGCCTCTGGGGGTCCACGCATCGAAAACGAGGGAGCGCCGGATGCGGCGCACGTTGACCTTCGGAGTCTTCAGAGGCCTCCTAGATGGGGTCTTGGTAGGTGGGGCCAGACTGTCGCGCCGCATCGCCGATGCATCGGCCATGCGTGGACGATGCCTCGGCGACGTCGGCGACGTCGGCGTGGAGATACTCGGCCTTCACATCGCGCCTCATCCCCGATGAATCGGCGATGCGGCGCGACACTGCGACCCCATCTACTCGGACCCCATCTGAGCGACGAAAAAAACCGGATCTGACGCGAGATGACACAGCGACCGGACGCGGTGGCTTACGCGGGCCGCCAGTGCGGCGCGCTATGTCGGAAACGAGGGCGCTTGCGTGCCACCGTTCGCGGGACGCTTCCGCGCCCATGGCGGCGCAGACGACCCCGTCGCTCTGCGTCGCTCACTGGAAGTTATTGGTCGCTACCAAAACTCAGCAAGTTAACGAGTTAACGAGCCCAAAACTTCTAACTACTGGCGGCGGTGGCGAAGCCTAAGCCGAGGAGAGCAAAGGAGGGAAGGCGCCCCAAAGGCACCGGGGAGGCCCCGGGGAGAGGGCCCACGAGGGCCAGGCCCGGGGAAAGAGCCCCCCAGGGCCGGAGGGGAGAAGAGGAGAAAAAGAGGGGAGAGAGCGTCACTCACCCCGCATTTTGCAGCACGAGGTGCGACCAGCTCCACCTCCGTCTGAGCGGCCCTGCTCTGGCCGCTCTGAGCACGGCCTCTGCCGTGCCGCGCTCTGGCCAGGTGGCCCACCCGCCGCGCACCTCGTGCACGCAGGCGGGGGACCGGCAGCCCTAGGGTGGGAGGAGCCTCTTGAGGGTCCCTGGGTGGGCAAAAGAGCAGGGGAAAATGGCTGAGGTTTCCCCCAACACTCCCAAGAACCTACGGTTTCGAAACGAGTTTCAAACCTACACGTTATTGGTCGCTACCAAAACTCAGCAAGTTAACGAGTTAACGAGCCCAAAACTTCTAACTACTGGCGGCGGTGGCGAAGCCTAAGCCGAGGAGAGCAAAGGAGGGAAGGCGCCCCAAAGGCACCGGGGAGGCCCCGGGGAGAGGGCCCACGAGGGCCAGGCCCGGGGAAAGAGCCCCCCAGGGCCGGAGGGGAGAAGAGGAGAAAAGAGAGGGGAGAGAGCGTCACTCACCCCGCATTTTGCAGCACGAGGTGCGACCAGCTCCACCTCCGTCTGAGCGGCCCTGCTCTGGCCGCTCTGAGCACGGCCTCTGCCGTGCCGCGCTCTGGCCAGGTGGCCCACCCGCCATCGTCCGTCATGCCGCGTGGAGCGTGGCTACGTCGCGGGCCATGGCCGCCGCGACGCCCCTCGACTGCTCCTCCGAGTCGTAGAGGTAGCCGTGGAAGGCGTTCGAGCTCCAGCGACCCCATCTTTTGACCGCCTCGGCGTCGCCCAGCGCGTGCCATAGCGCTGAGGCGCCTCCGATGCGGAGGGAGTGGCTCTTGAAGCGCTTCGGCGGCAGGCCCTCCGCCGCAGCTGCTCGCTGCAGCGCGGCCTGGAGCTGCTCCCGCTTGACCATGCGGCCCGAGGCCCAGCGGAAGAGCGGGCGGCGGCCCTCGGAGCCCTCCTGGAAGCGCTCGGGCGCGTGGAGGCGGAGGAGCTCCAGGGCCTCCACCGGGCAGACCTCCGCCTCGGCCCTGTGGTGAGTCCTGCATGCTCCGAACGCCCGCTGGTCCGTCTTGGTCTTGCGAAAAGTGATCAGGGCCTTGGCTGCCGAGCCTACTCCAGGAGCTGCAGCACCTCCTTCTTTGTCGTGGAATGCCACATCGACCCCGCGCAGGCACATCTGCTCATCGACGCCTCCGCTGTCGACGATCTCCTTCGCGCGGCAGAGGTAGAAGAAGCCCGTGCAGAGGGCCCCCCAGAGCACCACCGAGTCGAAGTCAGGCCCCCTCGTGGCCCTCTCTCCCTGGCACGGCGGGGTGGGGCTGAGCTCCTTCTTCAGCCAGATCATCATGCGCGGCGTGGCGCCGAGCTTGCGTTCCTCCTTCGGGCCGCCCTTCTGGAGTGAGTCGATGAGGACCTTGATGCGCTTCTTCCCGACGAGAGGGTCGCCGCCTCCTGCCCGCACGTGGCCGCCCTGGAGTGCAAAGAGGGTGCTGAGGATGGTGCCGTTGCCCTTGCCCAGCCAGCCCAGGTAGCCGATGAAGCGCAGGAGCTCCTCCTCGTCCTCGGTCACCTGCCTCTTGGAGTCGCCCTCGAACAGCGGCGGGATACCCCTGCGGGTGCACCACCAGAGCCACTTGGACCAGGCCTCGCCGTAGCTGGTGCGGGTGCTGTGCGCCAGCCCGCTGGCCAACTTCTTGTGGACCCACTCCTGGACCTCTGCGAACACCGGGACGTCCGGCGCCAGGTCGACGAGGTGCTCGGGGGCCGAAATGGAGACAAGTCCCAGCTGGGGCATCTTCTGCTTGCGAGGGGGCCTGGCGATCTCGGGCAGTGCCGACGCCCCCGCAGCGCGAGCGGCGTCGTGCTCGTCCTGGGCGCCGCCCATGTCCTGCCAGACGAGGCCCGCTGCGAGAGCCGCCGCGCGTGCGTCGATACCCCCGTCAGCCGGGCGGAAGATGGCGCAGCGCGTCGGGGGGCGGCGGTCGGCCCCCTCTCCCGGGGTGCTGCCGCCTGCGTGGCGGCCAGGCTCTCCGGGGTGTGCTGGCGGTAGCCCCGGTGCAGCGTGCGGGAGGGGGGCCGGTGGCGGGCGCCCGGGCAGTAGACCCTGCCTCCAGCGTGCGAGCCATTCGCGCATGCCACGCTCTTTGGCCTGCGCGTCGAGGTCGAAGCAAGCGCCTGCACTCGCTTCCCAGTCAAGGGCAGCTCCCGCCCAGAGGGCGACGGCGCCGGCGAGTCGAGCCCCCGTGTCGCCCGCGATGAGCCTCGTGACATGTGCGGCCGTGGCGTCGTCCTGGGGCGTGGGGAAGTCCTCTAGGGTGCCACCCACGGCGAGCCAGCTCTCCTCCAGCGTGACGCGCCTGACCCCGTGCCCCGGGCCCTTGAAGTCCCGGATCAGGGGCGGTGGGTGTGTCGTCCAGTCGGCCTGGATGGTCGGGAGGGGTCCGCCCGTGCTGTAGACCACCTCGCGTCCCGTCCGTCCAGAGGTGGCCGACGCCCACTGGGAGGAGCCGGTCCTCCGCTCTCCGCATGCGGGGGTCGGCCTCGAAGCGGGCGTGGAGCAGCCATGCGTCGGGCGGCAGTGCGCTCGGGGGCTGCAACACGGGGCCGACCGCGGGCGCAATCGGGCGCCTGAGGTCGAGGGTGTCGAACGTCCATGCCTGCTGCTCGTCGCCCACGTGCCTCGTGCCCAGCAGGAGGGCACGACGGCGCGCCACCAGCTCCCCGACCTCGGTCGCGAGGAGGTCCTCGGTGCTCACCGTGAAGCCCTGCTCCTGCAGACTGCGAGCGGCCTCGCCCAGAGGCAGCTGCCGCGGGGCGTCGAGGGCGATCCGCTGGGCGCCCAGGCGGGCGGCCTGCCTGGCCGCCTTGCAGGCGCTGCGCCCCGTGGGGTCTGGGCCCAGCGTCGCCAGGATCGCCCAGACGGGGCCCGCGCTGGGGTCTGGGTCCTCGCCGATGGGCGCGGTGTGCGCCGTGCCCCCCAGGCCCGTCCAGATCTTGGAGAAGAAACCTGCTCCTAGGCCCCACTCGAGGGCCCTCCCCGGGGCCGTGGCGAGGGGGACCTCTCTGAACCTCCTCTTCAGGCGGGCCTCACGGAGCTGGAGGGCGATCCGGCCGTCTTCGGCGTCGCCGCCAAGCAAGCGGAGCACCCTGCGGCGAACCCCGTTGGCGACGAGGTCCGCCCACTCGTGCGCCGCGTCGACGCTCGAGAGGCCCAGCTCGTCCATGCGGCGCTTGACCTCCTCCTGGCTGGCCCTGGAGCCGAAGTCCGCCGTGACGTTGTGGTAGGTACGGAAGAAATGGCCGATCGTCATGAAGTTGTACTTGCACTCAAGGTAGTGCAGAATCCTAAAAAGGTGGCGTACGAGTCGAGGTCGAGGGTGTCGTTTCTTGAGCCAGTTCGTGAATACCATGTTGTCCGTTGCCAGGAGCACGATGCGCCCGCTCCACGATGGTCCCTGACGCCCGGCTAGGACGATGTAAGCCATGGCCTCGCCGAGAGCGATCTCGACCGTGCTGTCGTCGGAGTCGCCGAGGGCCTCGCCGAGCATGCCCTTGTAGTCCTTAAGGTCCTGCCGCAGG